CGGGCGACACATTTCCCAAGCGACGTTGACAGATAGCTTGAGAGTGAAACCCAATTAGGAATACATCTCGAGTGGCGTCTTCGCAGTTCTTCGCTGTGACCGTTTTTGAAGTTACAATGTTTGGCCAGTGGTTCCAACTGCTGCGTGATTTGGCCGGGCGTCTCGTCTACTTGTCGCTTGCTAGTAGCTAGGGCATGACATGCAAAGATTTCGTTTTTCTCAGCTTGATGTATATAGACCTGAGAGTTTCGGTAGCCAGTCCGTCGGTTGTGCACTTTTCAATGTAGTTGTATACATCAGGAGATACGTAGTTCGCAAAAATCCCCAACTTACTGAACAACAATAGGTCAACCGTGCCCAAAAAGTAAATAAACTTATCAAACCACTATACCATTTCCCGGCCAAGTTGTCCACTTGGGCAACAGAAATAATCTGAGGGGGCATTCAAAATGAGTCTACTCATTTTTCAATGGTCAGGCCAGGTGTCAACTCGTCCTATTGCTCTATCATCGCCTAATACTAAGTACGTCCATTCGGCCGTGCATGTGCTCCCCGGTCGCCAAATGGAATACGCATGCGTTGGTGCAACAACACTGTTCACAACCAACTGGACGAGGCAAGTCACGGACTTTGGTATCCGATGGCAACAACCGGCGTTATGCACAGGAGACACTGATAAGTGTCTTGAAATCCTGTGCTATGTTGCAAGGCTAGTGCAAGACTGACGTAACACGGAAACAGCAAATTCCTCCCCCTTGCTACTTGGAGAGGTCTGGGTTTTTGGATGCGTCCTCTTGTTACAACGCGATGACACAGTATCACGATCCCCAATAGCAAGGGATGAGGAATTTGCTGTTTCCGTGTTACGTCAGTCTTGCACTAGCCTTGCAACATAGCACAGGATTTCAAGACACTTATCAGTGTCTCCTGTGCATAACGCCGGTTGTTGCCATCGGATACCAAAGTCCGTGACTTGCCTCGTCCAGTTGGTTGTGAACAGTGTTGTTGCACCAACGCATGCGTATTCCATTTGGCGACCGGGGAGCACATGCACGGCCGAATGGACGTACTTAGTATTAGGCGATGATAGAGCAATAGGACGAGTTGACACCTGGCCTGACCATTGAAAAATGAGTAGACTCATTTTGAATGCCCCCTCAGATTATTTCTGTTGCCCAAGTGGACAACTTGGCCGGGAAATGGTATAGATCCCGGTGTTTCGCCGAGTTCGGGTTGCTGCGGTTGGCATCGAAACCTTCTGGCTAAATAAATTGTAATGGAATTGAATGAGGAAGAATACCACGAGTGAGAAGAATGTGAGCCCGAGAGGTTAGACTTTATTCAGCAAGCATGTAGCTTGAAATGCAAAGTGGAAAGGTCATGGCAAACGAGGAATAAGCGAAAGTATACATATCAGTGTCTATTTTGCTCGGCATGAGTTGCGCGTGATGATAGAATGGCTCGTTGTATTGGTGTATAAATCAGGTGTAACTAGGATCTGGCCTAGATTCGCCTGTTCTCAAGTTAAGCCTACTATCGTCGGCCGGTAGCCGAGTGGTCTGCGCGCTTGGTTTGCAACCATAAGGTCAGCGATTCGAATCCGCGTAAGGATGGACGTCCTCGTGATATACTCAGCCCACCCGCGACTGGTGCTGGTCGCGTAGAAGCAAAGCGCCGTTATGGCGTACAGCTGGCAAATTCTCGGCTTTTAAAGGTAAGAACGATGGGGCAGGTTCGCCCTGACGTCGTCTTCCTCAGTCGCTTATCAGTGCGTGTTACACATGTCTAACAGTATGCTCTTCACTCTGTCAAGAGCCACACTGTCCGGAAAGTTGATGTGGACCACGTTTTAGTCACGGTGAGCGCGCTCACTTGCTTCGTTGGCAATAGTCGCGAGAAGTTCGCCGGCTGCTTTCAACTTATTGGGACTAACGGATTCGTAAATGTCTGGCAGCTGGGCTAGTGGCATAATCTTTGTTTTCGTGAGTTAAGCGCTTCGGTCAATTGATCGACAAAAATGCCTCTGTGCCTCGTCATCAAGTTGAGTGCACCTTTGGTGCTGCACCGTTGATAGTCGTAACCCTTTTCACATTCTTAACGTTATGACTGTTACGTATAGCCCGCGTCATAGATAAGGCGACGATACAGTGATACAAATATGAAGATGGAGTGAAAATAAGCAAAACGGATCAGTCCTGACACTACTCGCGTGGAGGAAAATACGTATATAGACCCATTGGTCCAAAAACGAGGCGATGGTAAGAAGCTGTTGCTCTTTACTAACACAGATAGCTAATAATGAGTTTATGTTAGATTCAGATGAAATCCAAGTGACCTTATGGACCTAGCAAAAGATTTCCCGCCCCGTGTGGTGTCACAGGTCGCTGACTAAGGCGTTAGAGTCAACATCGTAAATGTGGCTAGCCGTCGCATTCGCCAGCTCCATCCACTTTTCGATAGTACCTGGAAAAAGAACATTACACTTACACCGATTCATGCCAAGTGAGCAATACCAAGATTTACAATACAGATTTACTTGGTCTGCACCAACTTGTGATCAGTGCCGCAGTCTTTCCCACGTAGTACACGTGTCGTGCGCATTTTGCGCATGTCACGCTGACGTAAGATGACATAGTCGAGCAAGTGAGTGTGACCATCCCGTGGGTGCGTCCAAGTAGCTATATCATTCGTACTCGCGTGTGGCGCAAAGTGAGAACAGCCGATCATCTTTATAATTGACTGAGCCAATGCCATCGGTTCGATTACATCTGTTCGCACCACGGCACTACGCTCAATTCGCGCTCCTCGGCATGGACCGTATCACGTAGGGCAACATACCATAAAACTGATCCCTTGTGTCATCAGGATAACACATGGTGCGACCATACGTGCTAATGAAAGTGGCAAATTTACCTATTCCAAGTCGCAGACGAAGTGTCGTCAATCGTGGACTGATGCCATTCGGCTCTCTCGCCAGGTGGCCATTTAGCGGTCGAATAGTGAAAATCTAACCCTATGTTCCCGTCGTGCTGTAATGGCGTTCCCCACCCATTAGAACGTGTAACTAGCACCAGCTTCATGCAAGTTGCCTTAGTCAGCGAGCCGTGTTTCACAGTGGAGCAACATCAATCCCGTAGCGCGCAAGTTTCGTCATGATCAGTGTAGTGCGTCGCTGGTGACGTTCACCCGAGTTCTGGTCTAGGAATGTGCGTACTTTCCAGGCCCGATTTTATGTGTTTTGCAAGGTGGCATGCGACTTCCGCGGGCAACCGATCGTGTTGTGACCTGATGTAGGATGTAATGAGTATATATGTATGCGTGGTTTCCCAATTAAGCAGGCATGCTTCCGTTCTGCTTCTTGTAGGTGTGTGGGCCGGCTCCGTTGATAAAACGTAGCTCCCATCCACATGCCTCCCGGTCTTATTCCTTCGGGTTTACACTGGATATGGGGTGTATGAATGGAGCTGTGGGTGGTGCAGCGCAAGCCACCCATGGTCCCTCTGTAGGCGCAGGTGTTCTGTGGCTGTCCCCGTAGAGGCGAATCCGGACATGGATGTCGCCAATCCATGTAACATGAGTAGGTTTTCGGCGCGATTGATTGGATGTTCTTCGCGGCGAATTCCAAATCAGATAGTCCTCATCATATCCGTAAAACTACTAACTGCTCGTTTTGTCTTATCCGGACGTCTCGATTGTGCAGATGTATGGGTTCCAACAGGATTCGTACCCATAGCCAGTATGGACTTGCGCCGCTAGCTAGCAGCTGGCGCAACTAAACCAGGGGGGACATCGCTTGAGCGTCACGATTTACAAGTAACTGGTATGTATCGCGACTAGCTGATTCGAAATCTGCTGCTCAGGGCCTTAAATTATATATATATTTGCGATAGCCTAGTCGTGTGAGTTGGCAACCCCGTAAACAACCTGGCAGTTCGAAACCGAGTGCTTGGATGGATAGCGTTTGACTCCAAAAGGTTTTCCTACGACACCGCAAGTGTTGCTTCGGCGACTTATTGCGTATGCTAACCACTTGTCGTTTACGTTCAGCGTTATAAACGCTTCCCGAAAGCGATCTGGAAACGATGTGAGGGTGACCAACCAATGATGTGGAGAAGGAAAACTCAGATTGATCTATGGTTGGCGGCATCCGGTTTTCGATTTGCCTGTCACTGTGACCAGCCACAGGACGCCTGTGCCTACATAGGGACTATGGATGGCTTGCGCTCACCACCCACAACTCCAATCACACAGCCCATATCTAATGTGAACCCGAAGGAATTAGACCGGGAGGCATGTGGATGGGAGCCACGTTTCATCAACGGAGCCGGCCCACGCTCCTTCACAGGCAAACACATGCACGCGGTATTTGGGGAATCAAGCGTACACAAGGCGGTGGCTGGACCGTAGTCCGCTCCACACTGAGTGCATGGAACCGCAAGGACCGTGCACCCCGTCCCCTCCAACAACGACCAACTGTCTCCTGGAGCCAGTATGGATGAGGTAGTGGGTAATAGACAGATAAACACGTTGTCAACATGCACATCAAGCGCAGTCACCGGGGGATCTCAAGCAACAGCCAATCACTTGAAACGACAACATGAAATAAGATAACTCAAATAATGCATAGAGATACGGTGACATAACCCTCCGCTAAATTAGCATATGAAGTATGTTAATTAGGAACGAATCCACCATAAGTACACAATGTCCACAAGTTACCAAAATATAGCACTAACGCAATCAAGTTAACGAAGATAACCGCGACTAGCGTTAGCAACGAGTGCAAGTTAATGGATTATTCAGGTGAGCAGAACAAACTAAATAAAGTGGAATGAAATTCATCCAGCTTAAAAAGACCTAGTTTAAGTGTAAGTTGGTTTAACCCAACTGCGGTGAAGAAGCACCAAGGATGTAACATCGTCCTCAGCATGGTTCACATATGTATATACATAATGTTAAACCTCGGTTTTCCTAAATTTTCTTCCCCTCCTTCCGTGCAGTTAACTTATTTTAATTTGCGCGGCCGCGCTGAACCGATCCGACTGACCCTTTTGGCTGCCAATGTGGACTTTGAAGACCACCGTATCAACTCGAATGACTGGCCTACTTTGAAGTCCACAGTTCCTGGGGGCAAAGTGCCCATACTGGAAGTCACCCAAGGTGGTGCGACTAAAGTCTACACAGAAAGTCTGGCTATTGCACGGTTGTTTGCCAAAAAACACCACATGATGGGCAGTACGGATGAGGAGTACTACGAGATCGAGCGTGTGATCGGACAAGTGAGTTCTGACCCAATTTATTCTCTTTTTGCTTTTCCTGGAACTCTCTATGCTAGTTATCGTGGCTGTATGGAAACACATTAGCTCCGTAGACTTTTAAGAAGAACGGATTGTAGTTGCTTATACTTCCAAATTAGTTTCGTCGCTTGCTGATTCGCGCTATTTGGAATCATTATAAGCTATCGATGAGGCTCATTTCAGCTTATCAACTATGATCCACGGCAGCGAGTTGTCTTGAATCCAATCCGCTTGTGCTGTTTTTTAGGGACTTTGGATTTTGCTTTCTGACCTGCTTGTCAGGAGGCTGTTGAACTGAGTGACAACCCCCAGGTCACCATTCGGCTAGGAAGGACCAGCCAGTTGCGCCAATGGTTGGTTACGACGTGAGATTCTTTGGTGGTTTCTCCAAGGTATTCTGCGTAATACATAGTGAATTACTGGTGTTGCAGGATCGCTGCGGCCAAAAGGTGTACCGTTGTTACTATATCGACCTTCATTGGTGAACCCGTGGTCCAGCATGACCGGTTCGTTTCATGTTCTGCGACGTGTTGGTGAGGTAACAGTTGCATATCTTAACCTAGCGATTAGCTCTTGCAGTTCCGCCTTGAATAGCTCACCGAGAGTGGTCGAGGCTTCTAGATCACGTGGGTCTAAGTTCCCTACCAAGAGAATGTGGTTGTTAGAGTACACAAGTAGAACCTGGCCCATTTCTAGTGCGGATATTGGTGGACGATATACAATTACTAGTATATCAATATCTCCCTGCCTTAGGTTCAGGCGGTGCTATAATAAGTTTATAGCTTGAATACATGCGACACACGTTTAGGTCAGAGTAGGGGCAGTGAACTACACTGCCTCCCTTAGTATGTCAGGCTTTGTGCAGGAGTGGTATGTTTCTCATCATTATGTCATGTCTCAGTTATCACGATTAAGACCAAGATATTGAGGCTTGATGGGGTCAAAGGTCTCGCTTTGTTGAGGAGGTTTTGTGCGTGTATTAAACAGTTGCAAGCCACCGATACCAAAGGCTTATCTGAGCACAGAAGTGCACCTTACAGACCCTTGTGAGGTCAGCTGACAATCGTTTGTTGAGTGAATTTCAAACTTACCACCCGGGGTCGCTTCGGACGGGTGCGCAGATCACCCACTACTTGACTCTCCAGTTCTGGCGTGCGGTGGATTACCTGTTTATACTTCATATAGTTGGAGAGTTGCAATGTCCCGTTTCCGAAGTGCAGCTACCTTGCCTCGCAACCAAATTCCGTTATTTTATTGTTCTCTTGTCCAATGTTCATCTGGCTTCAACTGCCTTCAAACATTATTCTGGTAGCAGATTGGTGTGTAGCTTGTACCAACTTCCAAGCACCGTTTCTACCATTTTTTTCAGTGCAGCATAGCTTATCACTCTTGGATCACATCCTTTGTGCTTAGGGAATAAAGATATCCTTGACGCTGAGTTGGCATTCACGCCACTGAGAGGGAAAGCTTCACGGGTGTAGCACCAATCCTCCAATCCATGAGCTTAGTTTTGCGACTTGTCGGATGACTAGATTTCGGGAACACCATGGACAAAGGTTAATCTTTCGTCGTTTGACTTGTGGTTTTGCTTCTTTTGCCAACACTCGCCAAAAGGGATGTCAGTAGAATTAGGTACAGCGCATGACCAATCACAACGACTGGAGAACGAGCTGCACTTCGCCACCCATTGAATGAGCTGATTTTGGGTGGCGGACAATGCAAACCAATCTGACCTACTTAGTCTGGTTCCCCTGTTCTTGGCCTATGAGGTCCCACTCTTTTATGTCGTCCAATAATGTTTCTGATAGAGCGGGCCTTTGATTCCTGCACGTTAGAGCATAGTATCTAGGTTACTAATGACGGATCACAGGCGCACTAAAGTTACATGTATGAATGAAGCCAGATTCTCTAATAGATGTGTGCAGGGCGTTGTCAGTTAGAGATGTGTTATTTCCTTCATCGATCTTCTGCTTTATTAACCTATGCCTTTCTCCCAGTGTACCGATATCGATAGGGAACTGTTTCCCGCATTCAGAGCCTCGGATGAAGAAAAATCGAAGATAGCACAGACCTTCAGAGGAGAAGCTGGTCTGCGACTATTGACAGTGAGTTCTGTCTATGGGTTCTTACCGTTGTTCTCAATTGTTTTATCATTGGACACATTACAAAACAAAGGAGGTGCAGCCGAAAGGTAGTCGATGATATTTACCGCTGCGGTACTTGTGTCTGTGAAACTTATGAAGCAGTGCATCTACTTTCCGCGTGTACTCATCTCTTCTTAACAGACGGGTTGTCCACCAAGTTGACCTACTACCTGTTAATTGCAAAGTGGTGATGTTCACCATTTGGAATAGTTTGTCGACGATATGCGTCGTTAGTAGTGCCTTGCATGGTGCATGGTGCTTGTTTTCCGCGCCACGAGCTACCCTCTCTATGGTGGATATCATCATCACTAGCTCCTCAGCGGAAAATTCTCTGCTATGCTTCTCGATTCTTGCCTTTCAAATGTTGGTGCATTCTGCTCCTACCCTCATCTCATCTGGGCTTCAGTGAATCACATCATTTGTCGGTTGTCTTGGATATCCCTTATAGTCACGTAGTCCATACGGCACTTTAAGTGGGTGAACAAGCCCCAGTTGCGTTATAACGTGTAGTCCGCGCATCGCGATATACCCAGTGCTTGGGCAGTGGGTGGTTAGATAATTTGGACTTAAAACACCGGGCAGACTAACCTATGCGAGGGACCTATCGCATCCTTGTACGAAGCTCCCATAGGTGCAACTTCCAAGGTGTTATCCATCGTTGTCAATGGGCTTTTATTTAGCAAACTTTGGTCCAAATGTGGATAAATAAAGACTACGTTAATCTACTCAGCCGAAGCTCCCTTCTGAATACGTCGCTAATTTCCTGACGTCGCCCAAATTTCTCTACTGGCAGGGTATAATGCAGCTATATAGAAGGAGCGCGAAATATGAGGCGGCATACGCATGCTCACCTGCGTGAAATGTTCTCAGTAACTCTTTGGTTAATAGCTGGGTCTGGTACTGTGTTTGGGGTGAAACTGATACAGGATTTGCATTGAGCTCTTTATGTGTTTGGGGTAGTATTTCACCTCGATTTATCATTACTCGACAGTTGAAATTGAGAAACACGCCTAAGCTTATGTGCCACAGTACAAAAGATAAGATAAATGGAAAACGCGATATACTAAATATGACAGAGATCAAGGTAAAAATTAGGAAAAGTAATATGGTAACATCATATTGCGCATCCGGTGTGCGATCGTGGTTGAACGGGGAGGCTAAGCGGAATGGAAGGGGCAAGGAAACTCATACCACAAACGCCATGGAAGTCAGCTTGTCGTCATGCCCACAAGTGTATCTAGCCAGACGTGTTTATCGTTCTTCGGACCCCAGCCCGGCAGTCAGGAAACACGGACCGACTCCAACTTCGAAGTCAGAGCCGTCATACCTCTTGGTCTGGTCATCGTTTGGCCTCTCCTCTTTCGTCCACATCCCGGTCGCACAAATAACGCACGACGCGGGAGTCCGTGTGCTGATATGCGCAACTCGTGACGCAGTCATCGGACCCTGGTGCTGCTCGGTTCCCCGCTCTTCCAGTACCAGGTACGCGACGCCAGACACGCTCATTGCTCACGTGGTGTTCCCAGTAGGCATGAGCTGATATGCGAAAGGCAGCGTCGGTCGAACTAACCATGTTTTTTATGTATGCCGACTTGATGGGCCAGATTTCACAATCGTAAAGAAGGGTTGAACGCATGGCTGTGTTTTAGACTATGCCTTTCATAGGGATGTCGCGCCGCCCCGAGCTTTTGCTATACACCTCGTGACCTCATCTATTCCACAGGCACTAATCTACCTGTTAAATTTCCATACGACTGGCTGATCACCGCGAAGGGTCAACGCAGAGAACCTTAGATTTCGGGGGTGCGAAGCAGCCAGCCAGTGCTAATCCGTCTAGTGCTGCTTAGCACGTTTGTAAGCTGTCACAGATAAGAGCAATGTCGCTAGTATACTTCAATTCAAGAAGTCGATCATCTTAGAGCAGCTCCACAGCTTGCAGGTCGTGTCCAGGAAACACAGTCTCCATGACTTCGTCTATGGCTAAATTGAAGAGGAAAGGTGACTGCGGTTAAACTTGTCTCACGCTTCTGGAGATATTGACGGGTGACGACTGTTAGCCAAATACCCTCACTTTGCCCGAACTACAGGCGTACAGGGCTCGGGCACAACTTTCCAGAACTGACAATCCCCAAGAGCACATCGATCTACCGAATCGAAGGTCGCTTTGATGTCAATAAACGTAACTTTATACGGGTTAAGAAGCACTGCTTTACGAACCTCGTTGAGTGATCTGGTGGGTTATCGAAAAACCTTAATGCAAAGATGCAGTTAGTACTTTTACTGCCAAAAGAATTTATAATACAGTAGGCCGCGTAGTTTCCCAGTTCCGATAAGTGATAATTAGTAAATCCAAGATATTTCCCGCTATTGAAATTGAGAGGTAGTGGTAAGTAATAAAATCTGAATGGCTGGGTGCGCCATCCAACCGACTTTTAACTATGGTTGATGTAATTGCAGAAACTATTGATGTGCGGAGGGCGTTCCACGGGTGGCATATGCGAATAGGAAACCTATTTCTGCGGCACTCCAGACGGCCATACTGTCCTGCTAATTTCATGGAGTGACCTCTCAAGTTTCTAGTACTGCTGAGTTGCAGTAAGAAGCAAGCGATAGATGAACATCACACAAGTGTAGCAACCGCTCACCGTTACCATTACGGAGGCCTGTACAGTGTTAGAAGCTCAAACGGAGTTCATCAGTGGACAGTTTTCCAACTTGGGCCTTCAGATCATCAACAAGCACCACATTATCCGTACTTTATTAACGTGTGAACTCTTTCGATTGGTGACAGAAGTCCCCTTGTAGCGAGAACGACACGGTAGGGGAGAACGCTGTTTATTGCACGCTGAGAGGTTCACACACATGTCCCACGCTTACACACAAATATAGCCGCGTTTCCCACTTACGACACACCACGTTCCGCCGAGTGAAGTGGTGTCCACAAAGCGCCATTAGGCTGATCCGACGTGGACATTGAATGTGCCGTTTCCCGCCCACATTTCTGCTCCCTTGCGTCGCAGCCTATCCAGACTGGATTCGTACCAAAGCTCTCGATTTGCTTGCTTGGGGCTGTGTTGCTCTGGTCGGGCCGATTCCTGGGGCCGTAGATAAAGGCATATCTTTTGGGAAAATCGGGCTCCCTTTCATGTCGCCTCTTGTTCTTCTCGGCGTGGCCGCGGTATCGTTTGTCGCTGACGACCCATTCCCGGCTTGCATCGTAGGCCAGGAGTTGGGTTGACGATTCCCGTTTTTAGTCTCCGCGTTCGTCCGGATCTCCTGCTGCTTCCGGGGCATTTCCGTGTGAACTGAGATCCGCGCCCCTACACTCTTTCACCGAGTTAGTGCTACCATATGTGGGCGCATATGCAGCAATGACCTCGATCGAAATTTGTTCATTTAATCATCTGCTTGTTAATGCAAGCGTGAGGGCGGGGATCCTCGCGGTATACTCTGGCCACACGCGACTGGTGTTGGTCGCGCGGCAGCGAAGCACCGTTACGGCGTACAGGTGACGGTTTAATTTTTATTTATTAACACAAGTGTCACGTTACTTGCTTCAGCATCACTATACACGTTAGCTAGGTGTGTGAAGTATCCTAGGCATAGTGCCGCAACGGGAAACAACTAGATAGTAGTATAGAAGAATGAGAAAGATAAAGGCCATGACAAAAGCATCACAACACGAAAAATCGTATTATGCCTCGGGGCTGAGGTCTGGTTGAAGAGTGAGGCTAAGCGGACTGGAAACGGACAAAGAAACTCATAACGCAAAGCCTTTAAGGTCAGTTCTTCGCCATGTCAAAAAGTGAACATAACCAAACGTGTTCACCGTCTTTCGGAGTCTATGGGATCCAGCCGCGACAAACTTCGAAGTGAAGGTCAACATTCCTCTTGACCAAGACATCGATTGGCCTCCCCCTTATTCTATCCGCATTTCCGTCCTATAGACAATGCACATCGCGAGATTTTTCGTGCTGGCGTGCTGGTTTAGCTGTCGAAACCTAGTGCCTGAAGTAGTGATGCTGAACGTTTCCTTTCCTTCTCGCGCATCATAAAGAAAACTCCGAACACGCTCATTACTCACACAGTGTTCCCACCAGATGTGAATTAAAGTAAGAAGATAGCGCTGCTTAAGTACAACCCACGTGCTCGTACGATTATGCCCTTTTGTCATTACTTCTTCGACTGTGTGTGCATTGCACTCGGTCCCTTTTCACCTCTATTTTTCTACCGGCTTCTCAAATGTCGATTATCGTTTCGTGTCGACCCAGTGAACAGCTGAGTGAGCCTGCTGCATCATCGCTCTGTGGTGAGACGAATCCCGCATTCGGACTCGCTTTCCACAATCCAGTTGTGTATCAGCCAATACCGAATCCCACATGATGTTGCAGTCTTCTATCTGCTTGTGGTGATCAGGAATCCGTGCGGCGGACATATTGCTTCCATCACACTATCAGCGCGGTCCGTTTCCTTTACTTGTTTCAGTACATACTCACACATGTCTACTCTCGTCCCTTCAGTTTGAAGGTATCGTGTGATTTCCGCCATTTGAGATGGCTAAAACTCCGTATATTACCGAATATAAGTCGATGATTTTTGGGCAATTTGTCATTTCTTTAATGGAGCAGTCGGCTTATAAAAAGGCTGCACGCGATTTGAAAAATGTCGCATGCAAAATCCACCCAGCAATGCACTGAATACCTCTGCGCCCTTATCTCACCTTAGCAACACCCGCTAGTGACGGTCGATATTCCAGATGAGGATTTGAAGTGCCTATAACTGGACACATTATTTTTGTGTCGCAAGTTCTCGGTATACTGCACATTTGACGTTCGCGACAGATAGCAGTATCAGAAACAGACGGGGTTATACAGAATCAAACACGTTGAAGGTAGGAAGTCGTTCCACAACCCTGACCATGAAGTTCAATCTCACCGACTGCTCTACTGTGGCTTATATGCATGAGTCCCCCGACTATGCACGCGGCCTGTCTGACATACACTCTCACGTTGCGCTACCTTCAGATGGTGAATAAGTCCAGTGTTACTCATGAAAAGTCAATATAGCACATAATCACGTTTTCAGTGGTTCGTCATCAGGCGGAGTACAACACGTATTAAGATTGGTGTAGGAGGTAGACATGACAGCCGTGTTTCGACTGGTTCACACGATTATGTGTGCAACAGCTGGCCAGGGAAGAGCACCCTCTCTCTCTCTCTGTGTGTGCAAATAATTTGTGAGGACTCTTGCTTGTCTACACCGCACACTCGGCTGTCTTGCCTGTTTCACAGGACTTAACATCTGGTTAATGCGCTGTCCGGTGCAGTGAAAAGTGTTCTGAGGGCTCTACACCCAGACATTATAACGCATTACGATCATCACAACTGCTCAATAGTAGAGCAGATTTGTCGTGAACACACTCAAGTGAGAACAGGTAGTGGTGACTTCAAAATCGTGGAGAGATCATTTCGTTTCCTTTTTTGATAATTTTTCGGGGGGTCGGCAAATATAGGAACTTACGACTTTGGACAAATTTGATGTTTTAAAGTTACCCTGTCGGCCTGTCTATGGAAAGGCTTGTATTCGGTGATATACGGTACTTCTTATTTCACAATTGATGTCTATCGTTCTTCAGCAAGCCCATGTGTCCAGTCAGTCGACTGTTCCGTGCGCCAAACTACAGTGGATCCAGTTACTTCCTAGACTTCACCGTAATTTCCAAACACAGCAATTAAGGTGAGGGTTCAGTTAAAGTAGGTTGAACGACTGAGTATTAGAGTTGTTGGATGATTGAATACAGAGCTGGAAACTGTAGTGCGAACATCAGAGCATCAATAAGTTCGACGAGAGTCGACAAACCACTCAGTTTGCTTACTACTCACTGAAGAAGTCAACATGATTGGTGATGAAGCTTTTACAACGTAACTGTTCAGCTCGGAGAACAGAACAAAATCTTAATTGAAGTACAGCATTTGCTTTAGTTTATGAAGGTCTGTACTGCCGGAAGATTTCGCGAATGACAGGACTCAGATGGGAAGGCGAACCCAACGGACGCGATAGCTTTAAGCAACTCGCAGCTAAATGAGTTAGGATGATTAATTAGGTCATCCGAGGACGGACCTGCCTGTAGCGTTTGGCGTATCTTAGTAGATCATTCAGGTGCTTCGCATGTTGGACACAAATTACTGCTCATATTAGCTTGTGGAACTTATCGCTGATACGGGTGGATGCGGGTATCTCACCGAACAGTTTCAACCGGGACGCTATGTGAACCATGTGTCCACATTAACGCGACAATTATGACCACAAAGCTCATGTTTCTTATGTTTTTTTTGTCGCAGCTAATTTGTCAACATTTGGATTCTTCTCCAAGCGGGCTGGTCGCTGGAAACACACCATCATTAGGGGACTTGGTCATCCTGTGCACCACGGACCAGGTAGAGGTGGTCGTGCCTGGATTTATCAAAGAGAAATTTCCGACCATCCAGAAGCATCGGGAACTGGTTCTGAAAAAGTGTCCGAAATTAGCGGAATACCTGAAGACCCGAGGCTCCTTTCCACTTTAATTATACTTGCGTGCACATAATTTGACAGCGTTTCTCCCCCGTTTGTTATCGCTTAGCATAATTCGTGTTTTTAAAAGTAAAGTTCTAACCCATTACGGGATTGTTCTTCACTAACCATGCTTGGATCGGATGCTCACCGGGCTTCATTCAACCGCAAGGCAGGCCGCTATTTTCAGTGTGCATCATCTTGTATTGCGTTGTCATGGATGATATTCATCTGTTATCTTTCCTTGTGCTCAGCAATAACTCGCAAACTTAATTTCATCACTGTTGGTACGGTCGAATCAGATGTTCGTGCTCTAGTGGTAATTGCGCACAAGCAATCCTACTTGGTAATCGTTTGCCAGCCACCCAATCCGTTGCAATTGTACTGGCCAGTTTGCATAATTATCCAGGAACCTAATGGTGTCTGTGCTTTCACTCACGCTTTGTTCATCCAGCTCTTGTGATGACTTCGCTACGGTCACTAGTAGGGCCGCTTGTTATTGTTGTGGTTTACGGCCTCTGTACTTTACTGCCATTCTAATTAGTTGCATCTCTCTCCCATGAGCAACGAGTCCACCGACATTTGAAGTGGAATACATATTGTTGGACCGCGTAGTTTCCATTCCTAAAAAGCGTGCAACCGGTGGGGATGTAGAACAAGCCCTCTTCGGCAGATTGCGCTAATGGCTGGAACTCCTGAACATGGCTTTCATTTGCAGGAGCTCTAGTTATCTCGATATGCTCCGCTAGAATAATGATGAGAGCAGTATCCATTAAAACAGTAATAATAGGTGGAATGAGCAGATGGTTTAATCAAGATTCCAATTCGTCGGAGCGAACGCAACTACGTCCCAGACCACATGACCGCGTCATATTCGATAAGTGCCCGACCGCTGACGTGACCCACCCGAGAAGATCGCAATAATCAAAACGATAACAGCCATTCGCTTTCTTCATTCCAGCTCACAATATCACTGATTGGCTGCCCTAGGACTTTACCCAGCTAGACGCGGTACCGGCAAATAACCATGCCGGGGCAGTCGGTCTGGAGGCATGCCGGTCATGTAATCTTATTGTAGGGCTATTCAGGTTCAACGGGCACTCCGTTGAGGCGCCGGAGGGTTTGTTATCAAGCCACGTATTAACGTAAGTTTTCCAAAACAGGCTAACAGATACATGCGTAGCAGGATAACCGTTACCACACTATGCTCACATCTGCTCGGGATGTCGCCCGCACACAAATGTAGGATGGACCTCTGCGGTTTGTCCGTTTGATTTTTTTATTGGTTTACGTATCCTAAGTTTTAGCATACAGTAAATGCTTTTTTCAGGAAGCCACAAAATTAGGGGTGGTCCGAAGAGCAACCACCAAACGGAAAATAGTATTGCCCACTCAGTTTTCTCATCGTCTATGGTCAGTACGTTTTAGGCATTGATGGTCAAACGCTTGGTGTCCTCCGTGTGTGGCGATAGGGCCCCTGAACACTGGCCGTACCACCTCACTGCAAGCTCTTCCCTTGGTCCATAGGGATATCCGTCGTCTCCGTAAGTGACAATATTCGAAAAGCCATGCAAGCCTTAGGAACACGTACGGTGCTGCGCTCAGTGCTGCGAAAACCAGAGATGACAGCTACCCAGACAGGTTAAGCGATCGACCATTTGGAGCGGTTCTTCTATGATTGTGAGAGCTGATGATTTACCGGCCCAACACCGCAGTGGTACAATTCGAAGGTGCAAAACGCATAAACCATGTGTTGTGTTTTTGACCGCTAAGAACAACTGAAGGTTGATCTATCGCAAACTACACCTTATCTCTGCTTTTACGAAATAGCTGAAGGAGACTCACTGTTTCACGTTTCTACTAGGAAGGTCCCCTCGGCCGCTACATTGGCATTCCACCGCTTGCTGTCCAACGGTGGAATGCACACTGATGATCTATTTGGGAGGAATTCGTCTAATCATGCTGTTTTCTATCACGGCTTGTCAATACATTATCGAGGAACAAACTACCTATAAATAACACCAATCCTACTGGGATCGCATCAGCGCCTGTCCTGAATGGGATCAAAAAGACCTCAAGACACAGAGACAATCCGTAGCACACTCGATGTGTTGTGGTTGGTTTTGCCGCATGAAACGTGAGACATTTTCGCTGCACTTCTCCGTCGTGCTGAAACAAAAACTGTGCGCATCCTGCAGGGTTCGTTTTCAGTGGCCATCATTGCTTCCTTCCCAACTAAGTTCTCCAAGCATGCGTATCATCTGCTCAGTTCATTTGCACGCGGTTTGAAGTGCTTCCGATTGGATTGAAATATCGATTACCAATAACAAGGAAAAGCAAGCTCAGGGAGCGGGCGCACTTTAGTTATCAGTGTGAACAGCTTACTGAGCTATCGTTAAGGTCAACGGACATTGCGGCTTGATTTCGGGTGGAATTGGTGGAATTCGCTAACCACTGCTTGAACACATCGATAAGTTAAGGGTGCTGTCTAAAAGTTAATGACTATACGGTGGCTGGAGAGTTGAAACAGATGTGGCACGTAACGTTTCTGCGGTCGCATAAAGAATCGAGTATTATTATAGCGAACAAACTTAACTACAGTTCGAAAAGGATGTCTATTCAGAGGACATACTAAGCTTCTAATCAGGCAAGACACCGGATGACAGCATCTTGGTGGAGAATCATGGAAATGCATATTTAGATTCTCCTAACGCTTGAGTACATCACTGATTCGGATTACTGGCATTTAAAGTCACTGAGACTCAGGCGCCCATCTTGAAAACAGTAGGTACTCCACCCCGCCAGATTATGTATAGGAAAAACGCTTTAGCATAATGTTCATTGGTCATTGACGAAACTCTTAGACCTCATGCGTAAACTCCTGGCGATACGCTCAAATACTATGTTATTTGGTGTAGACTTCATTTCTTTCAATTTTTGGTGTCCCAGTTTTATTTCCAGGAATATTTTTGCACTTGCTTAACTTCCAAAATATGTTGATCTTGTATTTCGCACAAATGTTTTGGCCGTCTCTCATGTCTACCTGTTCGCGTTTCATCAAACTTTAGTGCTTTTATCTTCTCGAAGATTTCTGTGGGCCCTATTGTTATAACGCGTCCTAGTTGTATAGACTCTTGCTCGGAACTGACGAGCGTTCCTCAAAGATAGCACCCCAGGCACACAGAGTAACCAGTGGAATTCGGAACGCCGCGGGCTAACACGACCTAGCCGCCAGACGTACACGCGTACTCTAGCACGACTGCAAGGAGACCCAAACGAGAAAGAAAGACTGGTCGTTAGCAAGAGTTCTTTTAGTGCCACAGGCAAGGCGAAGCATAATTTCGACATTTTCATATTTACAGTGTAATGTATAAACTATAGAGAAGTTGAATGTTGCCAAGACACATGAGTTGTCAATTAGTCCTGGGGGAAACACAATGTGTGCGGCTTTGTGTAGTAACTGGCGCAGTGTGCTGAGGAGAGCTTAGGTGGTTTACTGCGGCTTGGTACGATAGAAACATTAGCGTTATGAAGAGAGCAGCTTGCGCAGTGTCCTGAGTGGAGCTCAGTTGGTTCCCTGAGTCTTAGCATCAAGGTCCTCGGGACGGCTCATTTGTTACTTACGCAGTCTGAGTCGTCGCATGGTGAGCCCGGCAAAATCTGCGCAAGTTTCACGGAGCTATGCGAACTGCTCATCATCCATACAAGTGTGATTTTCAATCCGAGGATACCTTGTGATTTGAGGGAAGTCGTTTGTGGGGCTAAATACTTATAAGAAACTGTTCCGATCACGCAGTCCAACATACCAGCATGAGCGCGAGCAGACGAGACGTTTGACAGAAGTAGCATATTCTGGAAATGTCGGTTGCACGTGATTTAATCAGACGAAGCATGAATACATCAGATGAATATGAACTACGCGACAAGGTCAAAGTACCCATCAACGAATATTTGCCTCGATAACAACGAGAGACATGCTTGGCTTAAACATCATACTAGGGTTAACTAAATCTTCTTACAGGCAAATTCATGTATAGTGCTAATAAGTCAGCTTGTTAACAAGTCAGAATAAGGTGTTGTTCATTCAAGTTTACGCACGCATCACTTGATTCTCTCCCTGAGGGGTTACCTGCACGCACTATCAGTGACACTCTCATTGGTCATGAGATTTTAGCCATTGGGACGTACTGCATACAAACACAGGGCTAGTTGTATGCGTCTATGGGGGAGAGAGATTGGCAGCTTGACCAATCAAGTATTATGTCTCAGATTGGATGCTCACTCTCGACACCATAGAAGTGTGCTGGTACACCGATTGCGATTAACAGATAGGCGACCGAGCCAATCGTACAGCGAACCCGCAAGCCTGTTACC